TATTTATTTATTTATTTTTGTTACCAGGGATTGAACCCAGGGGCACTTAAATACTAGGCCACGTCCCCAGCCCATTTTTTAAAATATTTTGAGGCAGAGTCTCACTATATTGCTTAGAGCCTCACTAAGTTGCTGAGGCTGACTTTGAACTTGCTATCCTCCTGCCTCAGCTTTGTGAGCCTCTAGGATTATAGGCATGCACCACTGTACCCAACTCCCAATAAGACACTTCTAAAAATCTTGAAAACCTGGTGGTCTAAGGAACATAGTTTGATAAATTGCATTTGGTATTTTTTTTAATTTCTTGACCTATTTATTTATTTAGAACATCAGGGTTTAGATATGCAACCAAATGGGCTTCCTAATATTTCCCTTCCCTTAAATTTGTCCCACCTAGCCACAGGCAAAACTGAACAGTCACAGCCCTTCCCTGCAGTGCAACTCCTCACCCAAGGACAAACGGCAAGGGAATATTATGTCTAGAGGCAAGGCCCCTCTAAAAGAGTCACTGACCAGCTGAGCTCACTCCTTTCCTATAGTCCTATAAACCATTTGTCCTTTGAGGAAAAGGAGTCGATGCAAAGACTTCAGAGAACTCCTCTGAAGTCCCAAGTGCTCCCTGCCCTTTATATGCAGTCTTCTATTGTGAGTGTTCCTTGAACAACAACCCAGGATGACTGTGCATGTTTATTATTGTAATCAAACAAAACAAATTTGATTTCATACATATTTAACAATAGGCATAACAGGCATAAGGCTAGATGAGAGACCACAGAAACTGGATTGTGGACCTACCTGTACTATCACTGATGTATGTTCTTAGACAAGGCTTCAAACAACTCCAAAACTCAATGTCCTTACTGATGAACTAGGAACCACATTAACTACATTGTTTCAGAGTGGATATTCAAAATATTTATCAGGCAGTTCTAGGTGGCCACCAACCCATAATAGAGAACAACAAATATACCATACCAGATCATTCTGCTAATTAGAAGCCTCATAGCACATAATCTTCATTTAGTTCACTCATGGATGCCTACCCTGAGCCAATATTTCACAGGATTGTTGCATGCATCAAATTGTTTATGAAAGCAGGCCCTTATCTAAAAAAAAAAAAAAAAGATGTTTTAGTCAATATTATTCTGTATAGTAAAAGGCACAAAGAACAAGAGAGATGGGAATTTCTCTTAACACATTTTACCTGTCCTATGGAGAAGCCTGCCTAAAACTTGAGAGCAGATTTCACTTTTTTTTTTGGTGGGGGGGGGGGGGATGCTAGGGATTGAAACCAGGGCCTTGTGCATGGTAGGCAAGTGCTCTACCACTGAGGTACATCCCCAGCCCTATAGACTTTACCTTGAGCTACATTGGCCTAAGGAGGTTAAAGAACCCAGACCAAGACCAGCCAGAACACAGATCTTAACCTCAAAACATCAACAATAGTAAGAACTAGTACTTTATTGAGTACTTAGAGTGTGTTAGGGTTTCTTCTAAACAATCTTATGTAGATTAATTCATTAATCTTTTCCCACCACGAGGTATAGCAAACAGATCCAGGCTTAGCAAGGGAGGCAGGGAACTATTGAAGGGCTAGCATCCAGAGAATTGTGAGTTCACCGATCCCATGAATTTTCTCTGGAACTACAGGTGTCAAAGGAGTCCCAAGGAGGTGACCTTTCCACTGCTCCTGCAACGGATGCACAAGGCCCTGAGTTCCATGAGCTCCTGGCTGATGAGAACCCTAGTCCCGTACCATGAAACTTTTACAGCCTGAGGGGGGACAGCTCTAATTGGCAAGAAGGAAAAATAGAGGAAGAATCAAAACAGCAGCCCCTCCCTTCAGTGAGGGGGGGAGCACCTAGTTCCCCAGGTCAATGGATCTACCTCTGGATATGAGGATTAACTGTACTTAATTGAGTAAATAAACCTGGAGCTAAGGGCTGGACTGTGCTCTTTTCTGGAGAAGAAGAGAAGGTGTTAAAGAGAACCGAGTACAGGGAAAGGGCAAGGGCAAGGGCAACCAAAAGGCTCTGGGGTAGCAAAATTTACTGTCAAATTGTAACTATTTCAGGCTTCCCAGACCATGTTTTCTTTGTTGTCCTCCTCCCTCCCAACCTTTTAAAATATACACACTATTCATATCAGGAGCTAGGTTTCGTCTGTGGGTTATAGTTTGCTGATTTCTGCTCTAAAGATATAATCTGTAAACTGTATCTGATGTTGCCTTCCTCTCCGGTGTTGGACACTTAACTTGAATTAGGTCCTCCCTTGAAGTGAGAGAGGCACTCAGACGAGGAAAAGGGCATGGAGGTCTGACTGTGGTGATGCTTCATGGATCCTGAGGTATGTTCCACTGAGGTACTTTAGGACTAACTCTGTTTGGCAACCCAAAGGTTTGCTCTGGGAATTTTCATGCCATGCACAGCTGCACACATGAGCAACTCTGCAAGAATTATGTTTCATGCCACATTCCATTTGGGAACTGATGCCTAAGACAACATTGCAGAGCAATGAAACTCAGCATTACTCTATTCCAGGGAAAATGGAATAGCAAACCTTCTTTCTCAGAACCCTAAAATGGGACATCTCAAAGTCTTTGGAAAGAGCTTGCCCCAGCAAAAAGGAAGTATACCTTGTAGTAGACTTAACTCTGTTATAATGTCTCCTTTAAAGAACCCAGCTTTGCAATAAGGAAGCACCATTGATATACAAAGATAATCAACTTTATGTATCTTGTTATTAAAAGGACAACTCTTTGTGTCCTTGTCCTACCCTCTGTCCCAACTGTCTTCCCCATAGCCAAACATGAAAGTCTTCTCTTCCCACCTCAATCATGAAGTGTTGACTACTAAATCTATTCTTAAATAGCAACATAATTTTAAGGGAGGGCATTAAGGGGAGGGGAGAGAGTTTATTAAAAGAAAGAAAAAAAGCACATTCATACCCAAGAATCTAGCCTGAGTTTTAATGTGTCAGAGACATTACTTATAGTGGAATACAGAAAAAGATTATTGGTCTGGGGCTAAGGACAGAAGAGTTTTTAATAGGAACATGAAGTTTATGAAGAAGAAAGCAAGAAGGAGGAAGACTGCAGGCAAACACTCAGTGGGGAAGCTTTGGTTACTGTATCTTAGAGGGTGGAATGGCAACTGGTTAGGGCAGAAAGATCTTGGGAACTATTCCCCCCATTCCACAAACCCTACTGAAAACCGGCCTAAAGATGTATGGAGAAGCATCTCCTGAACTTATTGCACAGCCCGTTCAACAAGGCAGCCCATTGAGATCTCTCCAAGGGCTCCTGTGTGGACTTCAGCATGCCTACCAGACTTCAGATGGTAAGAAGAGAATTGCCCCATAATGAATTTTAGAACTACATTTCATGAAGGTTTAAAATTATAACTGATTATCTACTTGGAATAGACTAAGTAAATTGGTATTTGGAACTCTGAAATAAATTTTATCGTAGAGATCTCAAATCCTATGAATTGATTTTTTTAAAAATATGTTTGGAAATTAGACCTAGCATCTGTCTGTGTTTCTTATCTTCATTAACCTCCTGACTGTGCCTGCTTACTTTCCAGCTCTCCTCCAAACATTTGTATAAGATTCATGTGTTCTGGCTCCTGCCCACCCCTTTGCCTCTTCATGTGCTCCCACTGCCCCTGGGCTCCATGGGGACAGTCACACCAAGTTTTTGAGTCACAGATGCACCATGCTTCTCACCACCAAGCCTTTGCCATTGGAGCAGTAGCTACCTGGGACATCCTTCCTTCCAAACTGCCAACCTCCACACCCTGCCTTCCACCAGTTAGCCCTACACTTTCATTCCTCCTCCAGGTCTCAGTTGAAGCATCGCTTCCTTGAGAAGACTTTGCTGATCACCTCTGATGAGGTTTAGTATCTCTATTATTCATATAGTCTCTTTTTACAACAAGACTCTGCTCCTTCCCTGTACTAATCACACAGTCCTATGTGGCAGCCACCTTGCATGAATTTGTCTGCTGATTTGATTTATAGTCTCTCATCCACTAGACCATGAGCTTCTTGATGGCAAAGATTATGCTAGATTTATTCATTAATGTGCAAATCACAGAGTAAGCATTCAAGATGAGTTACTATTGTTTCATACACCTGAAGTGGCAGATCAGCTTTTCATTTGGATTTGTTTAGAATGCTATCTGTATGTTTACTACTTGTAAAATTGACAAAAAATAAAATATTATCAACCACTGCATAAGCCTGATGCCAAGCCAGTCAATCTGATAAACTCACACAAACGTGAGAAATAAAGCTATTAGATAAATATGGTATATTGTTTAGAAGAGTCAATTTGTTCATGAGTTAGTGGGGGGCATAGTTGGGGAGATAATTTTGTAACATAACAAAGGACTATTATGGAGTTTGGAGATAAAAACATTTTAGATATGGAAGGCTTTCTTTTTCTCTGATTATTTAAAATATGAACTTAGAATATTAGTAATAAGTAAGATCCATTCCTAAACTCTAACAATTTTTAAGCCTGAATCAATATATGTTAAAACATTTTTCCCCTAAAGTGTATTTTATATATATATATATATATATATATATATATATATATATATATATATATATATATTTTTATTCATCCACAGGCAGATCAGGCTTATACTTAGTGAACTCATAAAGTAAGTGCTGCAGCCTGATTTAATTTAAAACAAGTGCATAATAACATGTAAGCAAAGGTTTACAAAATGTACACTATAACCAAAAAGTTTAATAAGTAGTATTTAATTTTTTAATTTTAATTTTAGTTTTGGTACCAGGGATTGAACCCAGGGGCACTTAACCTCTGAGTCATATCCCCAGACCTTTTTGTTTTTATTTTGAGACAGGGTCTCACTAAGCTGCTGAGGAGTTCACTAAATTGTTGAGTCTGGCCTTGAACTTGTGATCCTCCTGTCTCAGCCTCCTGAGTCACTGGAATTACAGGAGTTTGCCACCACACCCAGCAATATTTCATTACTGTTCACAGAGATTTCTCAGAGAAATTTGAAAATGCCAAGAAAAGTAGGAATGGTATTTAAGGCTCTGGCCAACTTTAGATTTGAATATAGATGTTTGATCTAATCCTTCTCAAAATGTGTGTTCTAAAGCAGATGCTGATAACTGGAACAGACATCCCAATGAACACATCCGTGCACACAGGTGAGGAAGGAAAACAGAGTGTAGGGATTTATTTATTTTATGTGGAGATTATTTTCTTCAACAGTAATCCTGTGATTCAACATTCAGAAAATAAATCATTTACAATTTGAGCAAAATAACACCAGATTCCTACAAAGCTATAGAAAATGACTTGTGGGGGCTAATAGGAAACAGGGGCTAGAACTAGTGTATGGAGCCTTTGTTCTATTCCCAGGGGTTGACACTCTTTAAAATGCTCACAAATCACTACTTATGACTCACACGCTTCCACCCACTCCTCTTCTCCAGGCTCTTAATTTCACCAGGGCTTCTTGTGTTATCCTAGGTTTTTAAATGCACACTTTCCCACTGTTCTCCAGTCAAATGCCTTCTCTGTTTGTGAAGACCTTGTAAAAGAAGGACTAAGGCATTGTAGACCAGGACATTTTTCACCCAAACTGACCTAGATTCTCCTAAGTGATTCATTTCTTGATTGCCTGTGAGGTACCAACCCCTCTACTGGTCTTGTTTGCCCCATCCCTCATGCCCTCAGCTATCCGAAATCATGCTTCCATCTAGATGCACACTATGTTCTATCCTTAATAATGACTCAGCAGAATTCAAAATTTGTCTAGTTTGTTCCCTATCTGAATACTTCCTCATATCTGTGCAGAAGTAGTTATTCCAACCAGTTGCATTTCATCCAAATCCCCCCACCCCAGGGATCCAGGTCACCTTATGTGTCTTCCTTTGGCTTAGGTACGCTGATCACAGTGTTCCTACTGCCCTTCCTGCAGTCCAAGACATGAATATAGGGCAATGTAAAGCCCTGACCTATATCCCAATGTCTGAGCCTCTTTTGACCTGAAAGGTTGCTAGTTTCGTAACTACCCCTTCCTTCATTCACCTCCTGTCATTCTACCCCTGCACCCTGCCCCCAAGCATCTTCGCACATACCTACACACTCAAGAATATTTCCTTTGTAGCATGCTACAAAGGAAATATTCAGATTGGCATTGCATGGCTAGGATATGTAGTTTCCTTTTCTATTGAAAAGAACTACTGCTGATGTTGTGGGGATACTACTGAGAGAACAGTAACAGCAATTTTATTGACATAGACTGTTGGGGGTGTGTAAAAACCTGGGTAACCAATGAAAGACTTGCTTTCTGCCATCAGAGAGCTCTTCCCAATTCTCCAACTTGATGGCTACTACCCATCAAATCCCATTAACAGTGGACAGTTCTCTCAACAAGTGTGTATTACTTCGTTTCCTCTGAGCAGAGAAGAGATCTATTTCTGCCTTTTTTCTTCCTGATATGACTGCCTTCTCCACCTGTACCCACCCAAGCTCCCTCATTTATCCTCTGCCATAGGGTAGTTTCTAGTAATTCAAGTGACTGGCTCCAGAGCCTTCAGAGGGAGGCTAGCATTTATAATGCAACTATTCTAAATGCTACCTTCTTAGGAAGAATCTTCCAGCAGACAACTAAAGCTTATTAGACACTAAAATGAGTTATGGAAGAAGGTTTAGATTCTCATTCCCTAGAGGTTTTTAAAAGCAGGATGGATTCTCATCTGTCTAGGATGATTACGTGGGATTGTGCTGGTAGGCCAGGGGATAGACCAGCTCATCATCCACGAATAATATTTATTAAACTCTTGGGCATTCCTGATACTAGATGCTAGATTTCACATATATGTTAAAAGATAATTTTAAAAACACAGCCCCTACTCTCAAAGAAGTTTTAAACTAATGAAATAGAAGGTTTGTATGGCATAAAAAAATAGAATGAATGTCAACAGTGCTTTAATTTCCCAAACCATTGTAGGTCTTTCGTTTTCTTTCTCTACTCGTGCTCCTTAGTTTTGTTTGGGAATTATGCAGAGCAAGATTTTCAGTGAGCATATTTTTCTGGCTCATATTTTCCAGGAGCTTGTGAATGATGCAAAATGTGAGCAGATATCAGAAGAATTAAGTGGGGCAGAGAGCACATAGTGGCCTCAGTTCTTTCATGCAGAAAGCAAGAGGCTGCTGGGTTTGGTCTTAAAGGATCCTTCACTGTCTAATACTTTGGGATTCTAGGCCATGTGGTAATTAGGGTCAAGGTGGCGGGGGAGGGGGGGGAGATTATAAGGAGGTGGGAAGAAAGCAAATTATTGAAGATTTTCCCCTCAGAGCCATAAAATAATATTGACCAGGAATCTATTTCAGGCCAGGTTTTCAGTAGACAAATATGGTTATGTTCTTTGAGAGCCAGCAGAATCATGGAAATGCCCTCTGGCAGAGAAGAACACAATTTATGTACAAGCTTAGCTAGAACCTGACCACATTCCATCCCACTCCCTGAGCAGATCACAGAGGCTGTGACCCTGTGCTCTGTTATCTCAGATCTATGCTGTCCAGAATACGTAGAGCTCAGAAAAACCAAGTTGAGGTTGCACTTATGCATTTATTCTTATACTCTCATAAAGAAGTCTTTTTCTAGGTTACATTTTTTTTTTCCTTCTTACTCGCAAGAGCAAAGTCCTAGAGGGCCTCAGTCAGCCTAGCCAGGTCCTTTGTGTCCTTGCTGTGTGGCCAATTAGAACAAGGTACACTGTGCTTCTCTTGGACCCAGTGCTGCACCTGGGTGCAGGGCTTGGCCAGAGGGAGCAGGCTAGATTGCAACCTCCTCACACCACTTGTGCAGGGCCCAACCTACCTAGCAACAAGGCAGCCCTGTAGGGAATGAGAGAATCTTGAACTCTCCAAGTGTGTATCTCTGTACAAAGCAAAAAACTGATTAGATATGCTTTATGAATTTTTCTAATTCATCTGTGTATGGAGAAATATGGATGGATGAAATCTCATCAGTATTTACTTCTAAACATAGTCCCCCCGCTCCCACCAGTGGTGGAAATTGAACCCAGGGCCTCAAGCACTGAGCTACATCTCTAGCCCTTGTTTTATTGCAGGGGAGGGTGGTGTACAGGAGATTGAACCCAAAAGTGCTTAACGTCTAAGACACATCTCCAGCCATTTTTATATTTATTTTGATATGGGGTCTTGCTAAGTTGCTTAGGGCCTTGCTAAGTAGCTGAGGCTAGCATTGAACTTGTAATCCTGCCTCAGTCTCCCGAGCCACTGAGATCACAGACATGTACCACTGCACCTGGCTTCTAGCCTTTTTTATTTTTTAATTTCAAGACAGGTTCTCACTGAACTGCCCAGGTTGCCTTCCAACTTGCAGGCATCCTGCCTTGGTCTCCCAAGTCACTATACCTGGCTAACCAATAGTCTTTTTTTTTTTTTTTTTTTTGCTATTGAAAGAAAAGCATGGACTACTTTCCCCTGAACTTTCAGGAAAGTTTTTATTGTGCTTGATAAGAGTTATTATAATGTGTTCTTTATGTTTAGTTTGTTGGATATTTTCCTCTTCCAGGAATGCACAAGCAATGGTGGGAGGCATCAGACCCTTCTGATGCCTGAAGTCCCTTGGCTGGACCTCCCACTGCTGCCACCTTAAGCACCAGACACGGTGAGCTATTCTCAGTTGTGGTACTGGGGATTGAACTCAAGGTCTGGGTTCAGGCCAATCGGTTGACATTGATCTGAATCCCCACTGGCTACACCCCTACCCCTTTTTAAATTTTTTATTTTGAGACAGGGTCTTGCTAAGTTGCCCAGCTGGACTCAAATTTGTGATCCTCTTGCTTCAGCCTTCCAAGTAGCTGCTGGGATTACAGGTGTATACCACCCCACCTGCCTGGCTTTATTATTTTTAACTAAAACATGTAATTTGGATTTATATAGGCAAACAAACATGAATGTAAATTTAATTTTTCAATGATTCAATCAATAGTTAACTCATAGAAAAGAAAGTAGGTTTCCAACTAATTTGACTCAAATTGAAAAAAAAATATGCAAAAATATGCCCAAATTGGATAGTGAATAATTGATGAAGATTCCATTTTGTTTAGTCAACCATTTAATCTACTATATAAATTATTAATTATTTCAGGTAAAACTCTCAGGTTGTAATTTTATCTACTTTTTGAGATTTTAGGCTTCTTAAACACATTGTACAACTAAAGTTATTTTCAACAGTAAGGAGTTGATCTTTTTCTAAAACTCTATAACTTATATTGGTAAGATAGATCATTTTTAAATATCGTTTTATTAAACAGCTTTATTTTAAAAGATAAGTTTCCAAACTTTCTGACAGCACAGGCGATTTTAAATATGGGAGAATGTGTCATGGTGCGTCTTTGATTCAATGAATTGATTCTCCTACCAGTCATCCAGTGGATATTCTAAATTTCAGAGATAGAACTAATTTTATTCCTTTATAGTCAGCTGTTAATGGTGACCAGTTTTAGGAAACAAATACATACAAATGAATTGTTAATGCTCTTGAATATGTGGGGGGAGCAGGGAGCAGAACCCATCAAAGTTTCCTTTGGCTGTACCAAGCCCCTGGGAGCAGGCAGATTCAATAATTGCAGGAGGGAGACTAGATTTCCTCCTGAGCTGTGAGTCTTTGAGTAATTTACTTAACCAGTCTAAACATTTAGTCCCCTTGTTTGTTATCTGAGGAAAATATCTACCTTGCAGAGTATTTGTAAATATTATAAACATCATATAAATTATTAATCATATTGTTTTTCACAGTAGATGTTCAATAAATGGTGGCTGGATATCTGAGCGTGTTGTTTTGCACTTTCCTCAGACTATAAATTCCTTGAGAGTAAGAATTACAGCCCCAGGTACAGTTTGTCCCATACTGCTGATGATCAATAAATATTTGAGCTAAAATTTCATTTTTGAAAGGCTTTTAAAATAATCTCTCCTTCAGAGTTTTAGCTTTTTGCATCTGACTTGTCTTTCCCTTCAAAGTCCTAAAATCTAATTTCTTGGTATTCAAGAGCATTTTCTCTTTTCTTTTTTTTCTTTTATACTGGGGATTCAACCTAGAGGTGATTTAACAGCCTTTTTTTTTTCCCCCTAGTTGCTCTTTTTGTGGATAGAAGTCCCAGTTGGCTTGCTGCTCTTCCAGGATATTGTTTTGGAGCTATGGATGCTATGGATCATTCAGGTAGTGTGGCTGCTGCTGATGGGCACTAGAACATCTTTAGGAATAAGGGACCACATCTCTCCCATAAGCCCTTTCTCATTACTTTAACCCTAATTAGCGGGCTACATAATCTTGCTGGTGGATTCCTAAAATTGTGTGTGTGTGTGTGTGTGTGTGTATATATCTCCAATGGACTTCATTTTGTTTATTATATGTGGTGCTGAGATCGAACCCAGGGCCTCACACATGCTAGGCAAGCGCTTTACCATGGTGCCACAATCCCAGCCCCCTAAAATTGTCCTTTTGTTGTTGTTGTTTTTCCCTAAAATTGTGTATTAAAAGACTTTCCTACCTCCCTCCTTTCCTTCCACTGCCACACCAAACGTAAATCCATTCCCTCCCTGACCTAAAGGACTGCTTTAACAATGCCACTTTCCTGTTTAAGAACCATAATAGACAACTAGTGAATATCTATTTAGTCTCTTCCATCTTTAGATCTAGCTTTCACTCCCTGTCCTTTCTCCTCCCTCCAACCCGTTATCAGTCTTCCCTATTCCTGTTTAAAGCTTCTATTCTAGTTCAACAGGGCTACTTGCATTGATTTGTTAATACACGAGTGGGCCAGATGTTGTGTAAAGGTGTCTGTATGTTTACACCTTGATTCTCCCTTTTTTTTTTGCAGGGGCTAGAAACCTGGGAGTAACTTTTCTCATATTCTCTTGTCAGCAGGGTTTCAGGTACACTTTGAGCTGTGCCAAGCAGATATCTTGATGAGAGATTTGGAAGGCAGAAGAGAGTGGGCTACCATCCTTGGCTTTTTCTTCTATTAGTGGTTTTGGGCAGACCTTGAAGTCTGCAGGGTTCCCAGCAGCCTCTGATTCTGGGAGGCAGAAGCTCTTTGATGCTTTGTGTAAGGATGTGCCAGGCACCATCTAGCTCACCAGGGAAGGTATAGAATGAACAAATAATAAGTCCAGTAAAATAAGCTCTCATTAACATACTTCCAACTCAACCATTTCCTTCGTTTTTATTTGTGATTGAAGGAAAACAGCTCAGGAATTTGGAGGAAAGCTAGGTGTTTTAAAATAGCAAGTAAGTAGTCAACTACTAGACCAAGAGCTTTTCTTTCTTTCTTTCTTCTTTTTTTCCTCCTCCTCCTCCTCCTCTTCTTCTTCTTGCCTCTTTTTTTTTTTTATTGGGGATTGAACCCAGGGGCTCTTAACCACTGAGCCATATCCCCAACTCTTTTTATATTTCATTTTTAAAGCAACTCCTTAAGTTGTTTAGGGTCTGCCCAAATTGCTAAGGCTGGCCTTGAACTTGCAATCCTCTGATCCTCCTCCTCAGCCTTGGAGGCGCTGGGATTATAAGAGTATGTGACCCAGCATCCAGCCAAGAATTCTTTTTCCAATGTTACTGCTTTTATCTATGACAAAAGATAGTTGGATTTTCTACAAGGAAAATAGTACAATTGGGACATAAGAGATATATTGGATAATTTAATGTTTTTAAAGTCATAGAGTGATATTTCTTTATCATTTTTCTCATTTAATATTATACTGAATATTATAGGAATTTCAAATGTGTTACTTAATACACATTTATCTGAATTTAAAAAAATTAAAGAGGGACATTCTTTACATGGAGGTACTTGGAAATTCTTTAAAATACATCATACATATATAAATTTGATTTATCCATTTCATTTCTACACCCACTGTCTACCCCCCCCACCCTCCTCATTTCATTCCTCCATCCATTAGGTCTGCCTCCCTCCTCTGCTCCCTCCCCCATTCTCCTTCCTGTTACTCTATTGTTCTTTTTTCACTCGTTTATTTGTTTATTTTTAATTTGTGCCTTATAGACACATAAGGGTGGAATTCACTGTGGCATATTTGTACATGCTCATGATTTTGTTAAATCATTCTGAATTTCTTTCCCTTTTCCATCCCTCCTCCCTCCCTCCTTCTCTATCTCCTTCTATCCCACCGATCTTCCCTATATCTTTATGATATCTGATACTGTCAAATACACACTTTTTTTCCTATTATTTTACTCTAGCTTCTGCATATGAAAGAAAATATTCAACCCTTGATTTTCTGAATCTGGCTTTTTTCACTTAGCATGATGTTCTTCAGTTCTATCCATTTACCAGCAAATGCCATAATTTCATTCTTTATGGCTTAGTACAACTCCATTGTGTATGTGTACTACATTTTCTCTATCCATTCATCTGTATATGGTCATCTTGGGTGCTTCCATAACTGGGCTATTATGAACTGCTATAAACATTGATGTGGCTGTATCACTGTAGCATGCTGATTTTATTTCTTTTGGATAAATACCAAGGAGTGGATGATATGGTAGTTTCATTCCTAGTTTTCTGAGGAATCTCCATATTGCTTTCCAGAGTGTTTGTACTAATTTGTAGTACAATTCAATAATGTATGAATGTACCTTTCCCCCTACATTCTCACCAGCATTTATTATTTTTTGCATTTCTTAATAACTGTCATTCTGACTGGAGTGATATGAAATCTTAAAGTAGTTTTGATTTACATTTCTTTGATTGCTAGAAGTGTTGAACATTTTTCACATATTTGTTGGCCATTTATGTTTCTTCTTTTGAGAAGTTTCTGTTCTTTTGCCCATTTATTGATTGGGTTATTTGTTTTGTTTTGTACATTGTTAGAGTCTGTAAACAAGTCAAAAATAACACCTGGCATTTTGCCAGGGGAATGTTAGAGTTCGTAAACAAGTCTGGATGGTGCCTGGCAAAATGCCAGAGGGAGTGGTTTGAGAAGTAACAAAAGCGAGCCATTAAGTGTGGAGATTCCTTATTGGTTGACTGATGTATCTAGTTTATGCTAATTAGATAAGCTGTGTGGAATGTATAAATACTGCTCCTGTCCTGCAATAAATGGCTCCCACTCCTGCTGTATCAACGTGCACAAGTTGTTCGTCACCCCCCGGTTATTTTGCTGCAACCAGACAGACTGCGGCAGATGGTGGCCCGTACGGGGAGCCCCGGGACACTCAGGGGTAAGTGACGAAAAAAAGCTGCCCGTCCATAGATAGGACGGGGGCAATCTGCTCGTCCCTAGGCAGATAGGGCGAGAGGAAAAATGGCCATTTTGAAAAGATTGATACAGTATGTTTGTGTCTTGTTTTGTCTTGAAATGTTGTATTGTCTTTGTGATGAAAATATGGAAGGGGTGAGAAGTAAATTTCTAAGGAAAGGAGGCACCCCAGTGGAACCAAGAATAGTTAGGGCATGTGTTGATAAGAGCCCAGGAACTCTAGTCAGAAAGAAAAAGAAAATTCAGAAGAAGAAGGATTATCAGGAAAAAAGTTGCAGCAAAAGGCTGTTACTAAATACTTTTCGTTACCGGAGGGTGCATGAAGCGGAGAGAGGCAACTGCCGAGTGTGCAAGCCGGTCACAGCGCAGCAAGGATTTTCCAAGAGGCGGCGGCGACTGGCCCTTCCCCGCCTCCTGGCCGGGGAGCTGGCTCTTCCACTGCCGCGAGCCCAAATCTAGACCTGACCTGGAGGCACAGTCTCGCAGGCTCTTGCTCCCTGTGCCCAGTAGCAGTTTGAGTCCGGGACACTCCCCAGGGCCATCTGGGGCTGTCCAGGCACTACAGCCAGCAGAAGACGCTACTGGTGTCCCTGATGTTTGGTCATTTTCAATGCCAATAACTAAACTACAATGGTTCTCCTACACCTGGAAGCTAATGAGTAATGAGCACTATTAAGGCCTATTTCAAATGTAAAAAAACCTTGAGATAATGTACTAAATTGTTCAGAAGGTTGTTTTCTTAGTAGAATGCTACAGGATTTTCTTTAGCCATCCAGAGTTCCTGCCTTCGTCCCAGTGCCGGTAAAGACCAAGGTGGAAGAATTTCCAGTGTTGCTGAAAACCGGACAAGACTTCGGCTGAGAAATGGACGAGACTTCGAATCAAGCTAGCTGCCTGCAGAACTTACCTGGACTGTGATTTACCTGGACTGTGAGTTAATCTATTGAGACACTGCTTTACCTGGACTGAGACAACAAACTGTAATCTGTAACAAATTGTAACTCGGTATCTTTGCTAACAGTGTCATTGCTGGTATAATTTTTCCAAGGGCTTCTTGCATGGAGCCATCAATTGGCTTGGTATTGTGGCATTTTGTATCCTCCCTTTCTGTTTGTAGCAGGTTATTTATGGTGTTTCTGTAAAAACCACTATGGTCGTTATTTAAATTAAACAAAAGGGGGAAATGTTAGAGTCTGTAAACAAGTCAAAAATAACACCTGGCATTTTGCCAGGGGAATGTTAGAGTTCGTAAACAAGTCTGGATGGTGCCTGGCAAAATGCCAGAGGGAGTGGTTTGAGAAGTAACAAAAGCGAGCCATTAAGTGTGGAGATTCCTTATTGGTTGACTGATGTATCTAGTTTATGCTAATTAGATAAGCTGTGTGGAATGTATAAATACTGCTCCTGTCCTGCAATAAACGGCTCCCACTCCTGCTGTATCAACGTGCACAAGTTGTTCGTCACCCCCCCGGTTATTTTGCTGCAGCCAGACAGACTGCGGCAGTACATCCCCATTTCTAAAGTGGAAAATAGGAAGAATTTTTCCGATAATTAGATAACAAACTCATTCATAGGTATATTAAGGTATTTAACTAGGTCTTTGAGGGCTTTCTAAATTATTCTTACCCTTTATTTTCTATTTCTTAAAAAATAGCAATTAAAATTTTAAATCTATTATTAACTACACAAGGAATTCACATTACAAAAATTCATATTAAGTATACCGCATTGCAAACATTTGAACCAGTAGAGATCAAGTGAAGGTCTCCTAAGAGTGTTTCTCTCCTTTATGAAAGATAAGGATCTGAGCACACAGACCCTTTTGCCACTGTTACTCCCAGAGCTTTATTATTTATGTATTATGCCAACTCTAGTATTGTTATGGTTGGCAAAAAATTTTAGTATTTTGTAACGTTAAGTTTTAATGCTTGTAGGTTAATTCTAAACAATGAAAAGTCAGGGCTGGGATATAGCACAGTGGGGGAACACTTGCCTAGCATGCACCAGGCTCTGGGGTTGATCCTAAGCATTGTGAGGGGTAGGGGAGGATAAAGAGCAACAGTAGCACTCATGACTACACAAATATCGCTCACTGCTGAGGTAAACAGTAGGATGTATTTCTTTCTGTATTGTTCTAGTGTTCCCTGTTGGCTGGCAAAATTTTTTAAATTACAGGGTTTTTTAGTGTAATTTAAATTAGTCTGTTCTCGTCAACCAGTTGCTCAAGGTCATGGCACATTTTAAAATCTTAACATCAGACCTTTTCTTATGGAGTTTTGTTTTTATTTTTCCTTGAGTTTCTAATTACCTTTGTCTCATTTTTTTTTCTCTCCTTCTATGTGTAAAAACCTATGACATAGATGCACTGTCATTTACTTTACACTTCAATATTGTTGAACATTTTAGGTCATTTTCTTTTTGTCCCATAGGAATGTTTCAATGAAAATTATCAAAATGCATATTGTGCCTGTGCATTTTTTGGGTTCGTACAAATTTCTATAAAATAGAAATCTAAAGGAGGAATTGCTGGGTTGAA